TCTACGTTCTATGCCTTCAATATAGCTACAATATCATTACGTCTAAATCTATGGCTTCATCATAGTAAACGAAATGCCATATTTCAGCATTTTACGCTATCAAGTTGCCCTACAATATTACAGATAAGTCTGCTTTATTACAATGATTCGACAAGGATATACCTGTCTCTCGAATTACTACCTGAAAGTTAGGTTCGTATATGGTTTAATCAGGGCTTCAAACTCTAAGAAATGTATTATTATGGAATGTATTAATGTAGTTCACAATTATAACTTATTATGGAATGTATTAATGTAGTTCACAAAGGCCAGTTATCTTATGCAAAGAACGGAGACCTTTTCAAGCAACTGCCAAAGCACCCTTGAACCACTGGTGCAGAACAAATATGCTACTTTAACTCAAGTGGATATGCTCAGTCGATGAAAGATGGCTTGATGGAAATGTTTTATTATTTATTTAAAAAAATAATGCAGGGCCTTCCAGTTTGTTAAAATAAGAAATTGGAATGATAGTAATAACAGTTAAGCCATAATTTCCTGTTATATTTGTGTTGTTAAAATATAATTTATCAATATGCAAATTAGTGTTATAAATTTTTGTATGTGTTCCAGTTAATTAGAACAAAAAAAGGGTTATGTAAAAGTTTTTATTTGTGATGTTCTATAAGAACAAAAACCTACACTGAATAATTATGATTACATGGACTCTGAAACGGAAAGACTTTTGGACTGAAATGCTGAAACATTTAATAGAAATTTGTAAAAATTACATTTTTTTTAAATCTAAATATCCAGACATAACGCTTTATAATTATTTAATTAATTATGTTAGTCAAAATTGCATATGATTTATATTGCTTTTGATTTGCTATTACTTTAGAGGTTTATCTTTAAAAATGCTTCTCTGTCTCTACGGCTTTTTCTCCTTGAAGAGGGATATGTATGACAAGAAAAATTGAAAGATTAATTAAAATTTAAATAAGCAATAGCCCCTTAAAACTTAAATTAAAATTAACTTCCTGTCTCTATTCTAAAAATAGTAATTTGTCTCTTCACTGAATCATTTCGAGACTCATCCATGTCATATGACTCTTGCATAATACTGGTGGCGTAAATGAAACTAAAACTGAAACAACGAATAATAATTTTACAGCAGTATTAATTATCCAATCAAATGTATTAGGAACTGTAAATAACTCATTCGGTATTAGGATTTCATCCTGAACTCAGCACTTGCTTTCTGCACTTCGACATAACTGGACTTCTGATAGCTGCTCCCTTCTTCCTGCCAAACTATCGAAAATGAAATAGGCACGAGTAATGTGCCGAGTTGTTTGTGGCTGCAACGTGTGTTTTTAAAATGAAGATGCATATTGTTTCTGCCTCGGTTGCCTGTTTCCTATTCATTACGGATCAACATTCTACGCAATCGAAATTATTGCTGTTCATTACGGGTGCGTTCTATTCATTATACGTGCATACGTCACCAATATTGCATAACCATTTTTACGTACATATATTACTTGCTTATCCTTTTTTTTTAAGTCTAATTTTTTCCCATTTTTTAACAATCGAATTTTCCAAATATTTTCCACCTTTGTAAATAATAATAACATCAAACAGTCACGCGTTCTCACTCTAATTGCGTAAGTACCACTTTTAATTTCCCTGCTCAATTTTTTCTAGGAGAGGATAATCTAATTTTAAAATATATTTGATAAATACTAATATTTTTTTAATTCAATCCTATGCATATCAAGCGCAGGAATTTATTTTATTGTTATTTTATTTTTATTACACCTTATAAATTTGTATATATATATATATATATAGGACTAGAATTTTAGAGTGAACTATTATAATTAAATGCATTGGAATGGTTCATCAGTTCATTCTGGACACAGAAAAGCAAGGATTTTTAATGGAAGACAGATTTTTTTATTGATTTCAATGTTCCTCCTCTTGACGAAGTGGCACTGAAGTTAAATGAATTTCTCTTCCTTTATATTCTTTAAATTTCATCATTTTTTGAATTAGACTTTCACTTGTTGGAAGTATTTTAGTTTTAACATTTGTTAAATTCTTTTTTTTAATTTATAGGCTTTTTTTTTTAATTTATTACTTAGGAATTTTAATTTTGGTCTTTGTGTACAATTTGTTCTAAATTTCTTACTTTATATATATATATATATATATATATATATATATATTATACATATAAAATTACAAAAACATTTTTAAAAAGTAATATAATCAATATATATACATATATATATATATCCTTTTGATACTTCTGATAGTACACAAATAGATATCATAGATATTATATCAATCTCGTATGCAAAATTTCAAAACTCTATAGCTAATCGTTTTCGAGTTATGTGAGATATATGCATACATAGACACATACAAAAAAAAAGTCGCAAAAAAAAAAAAAAAAAAAAAAAAAAAAAAAAACCTTTCGAATTTATTTTAAATCCATTTTACTGTCCGTTTTCAAACAAAGATTCCTTTTTTTTGTCTGTATGTAGAGATGTCACGCAAAACAAATCGTCCAAATATATTCGAGAATGGTCGAAGTGGATATTTCCGTTGAAATATTATGCCCGAAATTTTTCGCGATTACAACACTTAAAGTAAAAATAAAAACTGAAATCATGTCCATAAATATTAAAATTGGAATCTTCTAGTGGCCTGTGGTGTGCAAGTGACAATATTTCGTCTACGGAGAAATCTAGAACTGCAATAATTTGATATTAAAATATTCTTTTTCGAAATTTTAATCTACTTATTTTGAATCTTAAGGATACAAAATTTTACTTTTTTTAAATTTTAAATTACATACTCACATATTATATTACTTACTTCTCTCCATGTCATTATATTAATTATCTAAACGTTTGAATAAATTTAACGTGGAAAATGTCCGTGTTAGAAAAACCTTTTGAACTATTTCTTCGTTATCTAAGCTGCTGAATTATTGCTGAACATTACAACGACTGAATAAAAAGGTATAACTGAAGGATTTGTTTTTTAATTTGATTAAAGTTTAGGTAGATTTTATTTCAGTACTTTATTAAAGGTCGACAGAAATAAATTAAATCCATTTACAAAGGCATTAATCCTCATGGAAAATGGTGAGTCATGTTTTTCTATTTTGTAGTCAGATTTTATTATTTTCCATAATGATCAGTTGAATGTGCTGAATAAAAATAAGCAATTAAGAAAAATAAACTGAATAAACTGAAGTTTTTCTTTTCTTTTCTGAAGTTGTTTAGTTGTGTTTAATAGTATATATTTTCTCTCTCCTTCCAGCATGCCTTCGTGGTATAACGCTTAGCACACTCGGCATGTATTCGAGAAGTCCAGGTTTGAGTCCCGGTGACAGCATTGCTCATTTTTCATGTCTCCTGTTTCGAATAGCCTAATGACTCTACAGTGACGTCGGAACTTAAAAATAAATGGTGGTGGATGATGATTCGTCATCACCAGGATTTGGAGATTAGGTCCCCTAATCCAAAGTCGCCCTTTGAAAGGGGAGTGTATAAGGTAATGTCTTCCTGCTTCCAGCAAGTCTTCTTGGTTAACGGCTAGAACACTCGGCGCGTATTTGAGTTTAGGTTCGAGTCCCTTTGAAATTGCTGTTTTTGTTTAATACTTCGAAAATTAAATTTCCGTTAAACAGGTTGTGTTTTGCCACAAGAGTTATTTATTAAAAGAAAACGATATGTGATTGCTATAGGAGACTATCAATATTATTACAATTTACACCAAAAATAAATAAACCTGTAACATGGCAGTACTTAAGATGGTAAGCTATCTCAAAACATTAAATAAAAATGTTTGAAGAATAATAATACAATACTTCTAAAGAAAGCATTACGATATAGTTTTAGGAGCTGACATAATTAAACCAGTTTTCAGAAAATGCCAAAAAAGGTTAAAACTATACCAACTCCATGAATTTAACAATTTCTTTTGTATTACGCGGTATGTAAATTTTGTTTTAATTTGTATTACAAAAAAGTAGTATCGTGAAGCGAAATTTTATAGCATAAGTTTTTGGTAAAAATCAAAAACCAAAATTCTAATTTTACTTTCGCTTCACACTTACTTCTTACTTACCCAGAAATACAAAACTTCCAAATGTATAGTAATTTTATGCGTTTCGAAAGGGAAAATGTGGAAATAATTCGGTACAAATTTCTCTTCATTAACTCATTTTTGTTTCGTTCAGATATGTCTACATTTCCTTCTATTATGGCATTAAAAATACTTGTAATATTGATAATAAACAAAACTTTTAAACATGTATAGCACTAAAGAAAGATGAATAATGCAAAGATGAATAATTTTATGAATGCAAAATTTACATTTATAGAATAATTCGAAGTATTTATTAAATTGCAAGTGGAAAAAACTCGAAATTTAAGCAATGATATATAATACATGTTTCATACATTTGCATGGAATGTATTTTATGAGATTTTCTGATTTTAAAATTGTTCGAAATTGCATTTTTGCGTTGCTCGAATTAAGGATACTATGAGTTAAAGTACATTAACTGTAAAATAAATTTCATAACTGCGAACTACTATGAATTAAAGTGAATTAAAGAGGTGTATTTTAGGTTTAAAATTTTAATGGTTCAGCTACCTGTAGTAGCGCACGATTAAAAGTCAGTGGTATGTATTTATGTATAATATTTTTTATTATAGTATATTTTATATTTCTTTCAAAACGTTTAAATTACATCTGAAGATTAACCAACAATTACTTGATAATTAGTTTAGTCATTATTACTCAGTTTCAATAGATATATATTTGCGGATAAATGTTAGTTATATAACTACCTTATTAATACGCTTTGTAAAATATAGATATCAATTAGTGTCTTCTATGGTGATTATTGTACGTTAAACATTTATATATCGTTTATGCATGGTATATATATTTATATATATACTCAAATATATGCTCTCAAAATATTTGATACATACCTCTTGCCGTATTTGACAAAATCGCATCAGATTAACAGTTTCTATCAAAATTATCTTCTTGCAGTAGTATTCGATTAAAATATCAACAAGCTGTTAAAGGAACAAATACTTCCTTTCTTAAGACCTTCTGGAATGTGGTACAGTTCATGTACGGCATAACTTTGATTCAAGAGGTACGGATCAATAGCGAATCGCGTATCACCCATCGAACTTAAAAAGCATTCTTTTGGATGGAATATTCGGAGCAAACGAGATGGATTCCATGATGGCTTCGCGCACGATGAACAGCGCACAAGGGGAAAGGCTCATTTTCGAAGAGGAGGATTCGAATTTTGGTGAAATTTCAACGACAAATAAACCGCAGGGACAGCTCAAATTGACACTGCGGTTAATTCATCAAATGTCACTGCAGAAGAGCTTATCAGACGGTATTTAAATTAAATTCGCAGTTACTCCCCGAATACTTCGTTGAGAATATCTGCGGAATTATTCGTAGATTGCTCTTAGAATGGGTTGGAATTAATTTATAAAATTAAATTCTTTCTTTTAAAATATTCAAATGTCCAATTCGAGATGTTAATTAACTAATACAAAAGATTACATGCCTTCCTGCTTGACTTGAGAAGCATAAGAAGAATTATAACTACCCATATATTATTAAATAACGTTAATTCTTTAATAGCCCACTATGAGCTATAATAGCCCAAATATAGTTTCCAGTATTATAATGGTTCAAAATAAGTTCTGTCATTACTCTTGATGTATAAACAATATCCTCAACTTATCAGTTCTAAAATATAGTATAATGATTACAATAATTCTAAAACTTTATTATACCTTACAGCCATTTTGTTATTCATGCTCATTAAATACATATTATTAAATCTTGAGAATTTATTATCCCAAGTCCTTCTCACTCATTTTAAAAATTTTTTAATTAAAATCTTTTCATTTTCTAATCTAGTTTTCTTTAATTAATTTTTTTTTAAATTTCACTTCCTTTTAAATAACAGTGTAATTTATGATAAATTTCCAGTTTTTGTTTGCAATATTTATAACCTATATTTTTATGGTAAAACTACAGAAAATTTTATGAAAAATTACAAGTTATTTAAGATCCAGAGAATACCGACCACAACTTTCCCTTTGAAATTTTTTATCATACATAACAGCTATAACAGCATAACAGCTATTGTAAAATCCCAGTTACTTTGCCACATTTTTGAAGAGAAACCATTGCCCGGAGTGCATATTTAAAAAAAAATCAAATAATTATCTGAAAATTTATTTTTCAATATGTGTTTTTGGTACAGTGGCTTAATTGTTTTATCTGATGGACATATGTGTCCTAATCAATTTGAGATAAGACAAATTTAATATGACGGGACCTTATACAAAAAGGGTATTATCACATTCTATAAGTATTCCCAGAATTTATATATGAAATAAATCTTGTTAATACGTGCAGTTTCATACGCCAAAAAAGATGTTTATTTTTCGGGGAAATTAGAAAAATATTCAATACTCAAACAATCGTAGTTTCTAAATATACATCATGAAAACTTGCGAAATCCATAAAAGACTAGTTTGTCCAAGGATTTCTTAATTTCTTCTTCAGCCATTTTTTCCTACTTGGAAAATGAATACCTAATTTAATGGATTGGTAAGAAAGTAATTTCGGTTTGCAGAAAGTGATAGCGTTTGCTGGTTTCGTTATTCTTCTGTCAATCTTATAACTTTTTTTTCTTTTGAGATTTAGTAGCTGACATTTTTAGGTAGACACAGACACAAATTTCATGTATTTTTGTTTGCAGCTGTTAGTTTATGGTCATTTTTAACAAACGGTGAAAAAAAATTCAACATATTTTACTTTGATAAAGCCACAAAGATGTATGTATATCATTACATATATCTTTTTGTTTACGATTATACATTTAAAGTGTAAATTTCGAATGCATATATGTCAGAACTGGTTTAAAAAAATATCATTCTGGAGATTTTTCACTTGAAGGTGACCAGCATTCTTCTGAAGTTCATTAAATTAAACTTTATTCTGTTTAAAATTTGCGGTTATGTGATTCCTCACTATGCCCAGCTATGGAAGCAAGCTTGCCATTTTATCCCTTTCACTTTCATGCATTGATACACTTCTAACTTTTAAACCTCATTTACTATACTTCAGTTTCTCCAGATTTCCTTTCAGAGATTCTTTCCGTTCATCAAGTTCAGCAGCAAATTTATCATCTCTTTCAAAATCTCTTACATTTAGAGTTCTTGCTTCCTCAAATTAAAGAAAAAAAAACGAGTATCTGCCTTTTGGTATCACATTTTCTCTCCCTTTAAATTAAATTAGGTTTCGATTATTTCTAGTCAAATTAAATTAATAATACAATATTTTAAATATTTATATTATGACCACAGGTATACGACTAAGTCGATCAATATTTCAGCTTTCCTTCCCTGGTCTATGTTTAATTGGAATATCGAATCGTTGCATTGATAGAGCCCATCATTCACCAACTGGGCCCTTCAGGCGTACAAAAGAAGAGAATCTTCGAAGAAAGCTCAAAAACTGAAACTTATTCTTGTAACTTTTGAGCGAACTCGATCTTTCTAGTATTAAGCGTAGTAAGTTGCATAATAACACCGCCGGTAGATGACAGTTACCGGAACGGTAATGAAATACATTTTACCTTTGTAGCACGTTCTAAAACAGTGACATGATATATGGGTATAATGATTTCACATTATAAGTTAATTACCCCATCCTTTCTGCATGCCTTCGTGGTGTAACGGTAGCACACTCGGCGCGTATTCGAGAGGTCCAGGTTCGAATCCCGGCTAAGAGATAGCTCGTGTTTCACTTCTCCTCCTTTCGAAATACCTAATGACTCAACAGTGGCGCCCGAACTAAGAAATGGTGGATGGTGATTCTTCACCACCAGGATTTGGCGACTGGGTCTCCTAATCCACAGTCGCTCTTTAAAAGCGGGAGTATATAAGGTATTTTCTTCCTTCTTTTTGCATGCCTTCGTGGTGTAACGGTAGCACACTCGGTTCGTATTCGAGAGGTCCAGATTCGAGTCCCGGCGAGGGAATTGATCATTTTTCCTTCTCCAGCATCAAAAACCCTAATGACTCTACAACATGATGCACGGTGTATAGTGTTTATGTTGTAGATTTCATTAGGGTTTTTGATGATTATACAGATATTTTTTACAGATCATACAGACATACATTTTTGATTATACAGACAAGGATATTTCTTTTCACAAATATCTAGATGTAAATGATTTTCCAAAATGATCCGAGTAAGTGATAATGGGGTGCTTGAATAACTAAAAACGCAAATCCTGCATTTCTTCTCTTTAAATTATTCCACGCACAATAGATTTTCAAAATCCTGAGAAAGTAGGACCTTAAAAGTTTACTGATGTTCACTTTGACACTCTTTGCTTCTATATCTTTTTAAGCTTTTTGAAACAGGGGAAATACAAATCAACTTAAGTTATCACCATGAGTTTGTGATGTTGGGAGGCTCCAACTTGTCAGCAACAGTAGTAGTGACTGCTATGAACTGAAAATTACACAAACTCTTTAGAAGGGTTTAACTCCCTTTTTATTTCACTTTAGAAATCACAGTTGCGTTCACTTGACGCTCACAAACTACGCCGACCCGGCGGTGTAACAAAAATAGAAAAGTACAACTAAAAATAAATAACAGGATGAATAAATAACGAGGTCACTACCTACGAGGCTCTATAATCGTAACTATCTTAACCGCGTTCTAAGATACAGCTGAGATTCAGCAAACTTCCTGATTAAGAATGAAATAGGCGCACAGGTCGAAACGCGCGGTTCTTAAACTTTCTACCAAGCAACCTTCACGCTCGTGATTCAAGAAGCACACTTACAAATCTCGTTTCCCTTCTATTTAACTCAAATTACTTCTGCTAAAAATTTGAATACTCTGCGCGTTCTACTATGATTTACATACTCTGGCATTGACAATTCCAGGGGAAAGTAAAGGCTTGACAGGAAAGATAGCTTAAAATAAATGTTAGTTAAAATAAATATAAACCCTACAAGTTGAACCTCGGAATCTTCTAAACCATCAATCCATAGTTTCATTTTGCTTTAATTCAAATTTAAAGTTGGCTTACTTCCGTTCTAAATATTGTTTTAGTGTTTCGTTATAGCTTCTTTCATCATTGAAAGCCCCATCTTTTAAAAAATTATCCAACTGGCATTTATGACTTCTCATAGGTATTATGGTATAACAAAGTTGTGCTTCTTATACCTATGAGCCGCCAAAGCAGCAATAACTCTTATGATTATCAAAAGTCAGATCTTCATAGATCACCGCAAAGAAATCCTACCCTGAATGTTTCATGGAAATCAGATTAATAAAATCAAACATAACAGTACAGTATACATTAACAAATTCAAAAAGAGCATAGAGTAATAAATTCAAACAACATGCAGTAATAAATTTTAAAAAAAGGAGGAAAGGAAAGAAAGAATAAAACTAGGTGCAATTCACGAGAAGGATTTATGTAAAATGAGTAAATATGTTACATAAAAGTATCAGTAAAATATGATTAAAATAATTCATAGTTTAAAAGGTTTTGCCGTATATATATATACGTACATTTTATGCTACACACATTAAGGCATGCCTATCCAGCCTTTCAAAATTTCTAGGTCATATGACCTAATTAATATATACCAATACTTAAAAGGCAGCAAACATAATTTAGTATTCCGAACAACCAAATATAGTCTATAATGAATACTGCATTTACGTTTTGTTCCAAAACGTATTTACCAGGAAAAACGTGTCATCAACAAACGTGTTATGCACATGCCGCCCAGACGCAAAAGTGGTTAGTGAATCTAACTGCCGTACCGAAGGGCCCGGGCTCGAATCCAAGAGATGGCATGGATGTAAATTGCCTGTCCCTTCCTTCACAGTAGGCAGTGGTGGCTCATCTGTTACGTACCTTCATAATAAAGTGACCATCGCTTCCGACATTAGTAGTGGTCGACGCCCATAATGGCTAGTGCCCGCTATTGAAAAAAAAAACAGTTATGCATATGAACATTAAGCCTGTTTTTAGAATAACGGTCTAACTACATCTAATCAGATAGCTGCATAGACGACTGCGAAAAGTATATTAAAGATGTTTCTCTGAAAGTTTTGTTTTTACATATCTTTACGAACTTTCCGAGAAACTTTGTATGAGTATACATA